AGTAACAAAAGGAAAAAAAAAAAGAGAGAGAGAGAGAGAGGGCGATCCTCTGTTTCTAGCTGAAAATATTGATGCTTTTAGTGTTTTTCAGATGCCCACTCGAGTTATTGAATTTCTGTTGATACAGTGAAAGTGCAATTTCTCATGGTTTCAAATTCTTGTTTCAAATACTTAATTGCAGATTGAAAATCTTTGTCCCGATTACACTTCTTGCTTTTGCGGTGCTTGTGCCTGTCAATTGGACTGGTCAAACACTGGTCAATGTGAAGGATTTAACATTCAGCGATATCGACAAGCTTTCTATATCCAATGTTCCTTCAGGATCTCTAAGGTTCATTCCTTTCTTTACATAAGCATTTTGATCTTGAGACACTTTACTCTAGACTGCTCTTTTATTTTTATTTATCCCTTTTTCTTTGTATATATCTTGTGAATATTTGGTAAAGCATATTTTTTTTGGTCGACTGGTTTAGGTTTATTACACATATTGTAATGGCGTATGTATTTACATTTTGGACATGCTATGTTCTTTACAATGAATACCGAATTGTGAGTAACAAGAGGTTGCAGTTTCTAGCTTCAGCTCATCGTCATCCAGATCAATTCACTGTGAGTTTTCTAGTATTGTAAAATCAGTTCACCAATATATCGATCTACTAATACAAAAAACACCCTTTTTTTTTTAAAAAAAAAAAAACAGGTTCTTGTGAGAAATGTCCCTCCGGATCCAGATGAATCGGTTAGCAAGCATGTCGAGCATTTCTTTTGCGTTAATCATCCCGATCACTATCTCACGCATCAGGTTTGCATTTATTCTTCTTCAAAGTTGATATAAACATGAATATAAAATATAAAAATTGAGATACACTAAAAGGGAAAGGATGATGAGTTCTTCTGTATTCGATTTCTAACTTCTCGATAAATGGATTGCAGGTTGTGTATAATGCGAACAAACTAGCCAAATTGGTCGAGAAGAAGAAAAGTCTAAATAATTGGCGTACTTACTATCAAACTCGGTATGAAAGAAACCCAACCAAGAGGCCAAGGACAAAGGTATTTACTTTTGCATATTATGTTATGCTGTTCCATGAATGCATATATATACTCCACAACTTAATTAGAATACATTTTTTTATCATATATTTTTTTTTAAAAAATTATAGACAGGTTTTTGGGGCCTTTGGGGAAAGCCTGTGGATGCTATTGATTACTACACATCAGAGATTGAGAAGATAATCGAAGAGGTATGCATTATGCTAAGCTACATAAGTTGATATTGTCGTTTTCTGAAAAAAAATTTAAGTGAGTTGCTTTTGTTCTTTCTTCTTATCTAGCTAACTTTGAAGATTACAAAATTTCCTCTATCAATTTTCTATACATTACAAATCTGTCCAACTTTCTTTTTTTAATTACATCCCTTAAAAATCTACAACCCGATGAATGTTAGGGCTACTTGTAATATTCAGAAAAATTAGGGGCATATAAAATATTTGACGATATCAACAAATTCTGTCAATCGACTTGCAAAAATGTTATTCAAAATAAAACGATGAGAGTATTTTTGCAATTTATAGAATTTACATTTTCCTTTACTCTTAATTTTTTTTGTTAATTATATTTTTTCTTCACTCTTATTTTCTACTTTTCTTGGGCACTTAAAACCATATATTCTCTTTTTTTGGCTGGGAATATAATAGGAAAATGCAGAAAGGGAGAAGGTAATGAGCGACCCAAAGGCCATAGTACCAGCAGCATTCGTCTCGTTTAAATCACGGTGGGGAGCAGCTGTTTGTGCCCAGACTCAGCAGTCGAGCAACCCAACCATTTGGCTCACAGATTGGGCCCCCGAGCCACGTGACGTTTACTGGCCCAATCTTGCAATACCTTACGTCGAGCTTGCTGTGAAAAGGCTGCTAATGGCAGTTGCAATGTTTTTCCTCACTTTCTTTTTCATGATCCCTATAGCCTTTGTGCAGTCCTTGGCGAGTATTGATGGCATTGAAAAAGTTTTCCCTTTCCTTAAACCGTTGATTGAGGCGTAAGTTCATTTAACAATTTTTTTTTTTCAAAAAAATTCCAAAATATGTTCTATTAATGATTGAGCTCTTTTTATTCCCCCTATTTTTTTTTTCCTTTATTAGGGACAATGTGAAGTCTATCGTTCAAGGTTTTCTTCCTGGTATTGCACTGAAGATATTCCTCATACTTCTTCCTACAATTCTCATGACTATGTCCAAGATCGAAGGTCTCACGTCCCTTTCTTCGCTGGATAGACGTTCGGCCGGAAAATATCATTTGTTTTTGCTTGTTAATGTCTTCTTTGGAAGTATTGCCGTGGGAGCAGCTTTCCAGCAGCTCCATAGGTTTCTCAACGAGAGCCCTTCAGAGTATGATTTTCCCTCCATTATTTAATTTCTTGGGTTATTTTACAAAGTAACTAGATTAATATGTGAAATTTGTGACTTAAACTCATTTCTTGAACAAAAAGGTGATGATTTTTTTATTTTTTATTTTATTTCATTTTATTATTTTATTTTATTTTATTTTTTGATACACTGCAGGATACCGAAAACAATAGGTGTTGCTATTCCAATGAAAGCCACTTTCTTTATTACGTATATTATGGTTGATGGTTGGGCTGGGATAGCTGCTGAGATTCTTCGATTGGTCCCGTTAATTATGTTCCACCTAAAGAATACATTCTTGGTTAAGACAGAACAGGACAGAGAGCAGGCAATGGATCCAGGTTGCATAAGTTTCGCCTCGTGTGAACCTCGTATACAGCTGTACTTTCTGTTGGGTCTCGTTTATTCAGTTGTCACGCCGTTTATCCTTCCCTTCATAATCGTGTTTTTCGCCTTTTCCTATGTCGTTTATCGCCATCAGGTAAAAGTGATATATTACTCTTAATTATTAGTGTGGTTCACTTTGAAGTTTTTGCCTTTTTCTTTTATGTTATATACAAACAATTATAAATGTTTAATCCAATCAGAGAGAGGGGAAAAAAGCTGGAATTTTCTTTAACTATCTTTTTTTAGTTTTTATGCAATTAGCTGAGAAATTTTGCGTTTTTGATTCTTTAAACCCCAGATCATAAATGTTTACGACCAGAAGTACGAGAGTGGAGCTGCATTTTGGCCTGATGTTCATCTCCGTATAATAGTGGGCCTAATAATAGCCCAATTACTGCTGATGGGTTTGTTGAGCACAAAGGAAATTGGCCCATCAACTCCAGTGTTACTCGTGCTACCCGTATTGACCATTTGGTTTCATTATTTTTGCAAAGGGCGTTTCGAGTCTGCTTTTGTCAAGTTCCCACTGCAGGTTGGTCTAAAAGGCCATTTCTACCGAACTTTCTCTTTCAAAAAGCAGCTTATTTTATCCATTTTTCGGCCGCCTATCATGTGGTAAAAGGTTTTATATAGTACATAAGCTACAAAAAAAATTGAGTAAATATTACTCTTATAAACTGGAATCATATGTTTTCTTTTTCTTTTTGCACTTTTGCCCCATGAACTATGACTTTATAGTTTATATCACTTCAAATTGAGTATTTATTTATTTATTATTCGAAGTGTCTTGTTTTGGGAAAAAAAATGATTTTGGGTTTGTTTTTTCGCGAAAGGAAACGATGGTCAAGGACACGTTAGAAAGGGCAACCGAGCCGAACTTGGATTTGGAAGCTTATTTGCAGGATGCTTATTTACATCCTGTGTTCAAATCTTTCGACATTGAGAGGCCATCTGCAGCATTATTTTTTGATGAAGCTGAGAATAATAGTTCGATTGTCTCGACTAAGAGAAATTCTCAAAGGAGCAGTAAAGCTCCTTCTGCTGGCATGACTCCTGAAGTTGTACTAAGATGAGCCTTAATGGAGGATATCTTTTTTTTGTTTTTGGTCCTTTTTTTTTTTTTTNCATTTCATTTCCTCCTTGTGGAGTTGTTAGAATTGAGAGAGTTTATTGTTTGGCTGTTGTTTCATTGTGGAAATGCCTTGGATTATAGAAAGAATGTCAATATTAGTGAAGTTGTGTTATATGTTTTTTTGCCTAACAATGGGGGAGCAAGATCTCTAATTTAATTGCTTTTACATGTACTATTACGTTGTAATTGTAAATAATAGTACTGACTATGCATTCGTTTGAGATTTTTAAAGGCTTTTTAAAACTCGAGAAACCTCGGTGTCTTTAATTTAGATTTTTTTGATGCTTGGATACAAAAATTATCCAAAAAATATAAACACTTTTAATTCAACCACTTTTTTTAACTCAACCCAACTAATATTAATATTATTAATATAATTAAATAATATCAACCAATCATTCTTACACATCACATCAACCTTAATTCACTATTCATCATCTCACATAATTTTAACTAACCATCACTTCAAATCATTTCTCTCATACTTTTACATTAAATTAATTTTAATTATTTTATTTTAAATATTATTTTAATATACCACTAACAACTAACCATACCACCTTTTTCAAAATTAACCAAACCAAATAAAAAAAGTCCAAACAAATCCAAAATTTTTTGTATCCAAGCATCCTAGGACTTCTAAAAGTCTAGAGGTATTCATTTGAGATTTTAAAAAATTTTACAAAATCTTGAGGTATATAACTTATTTGAGACTAAATCTTGAGGTATATAACTTATTTGAGACTAGGATTTGTTAAAACTTTTTAAGATTTGTTGGTATTTTAAAAGAAAATTATATACAAAATATCACCTCAAATCTCACCTCCAAACCTAAGATTTATTATATTCTCCTAAATTTGAAAATTTTAAAAAGTCTTAAATCTGAAAAAGTCTCAAAATATTGCTCGAAATCTCAAACGATTTACATTCCCAGTTTTTCAATTCAATGGAAACAACTTTGAGAAGTCTATAGGTGACACAGATGAAAGTTAATAAGCTTCTTATTGTATTATTGATATTATTTATAATATAACATCTATACTAACAAATAACTCATCAACACAGATTCATAAAAGTGTTGCAATAAAATGAATCATAAAATTTATAATATATTAATAACAAAATTCAAACTAAATTACTTGAAACATTCTGCAACACGGATTCTTTGGAGAACTGAACTTTGTTTATATACAATACACATAGCACAGAAAGTCAAAAATAGAGAACAAAAAAACCCCGGGAAAAATCGAGCACACATTTGAGAAAGCATGGCCTACCATTTCAAATTAATAGCTAGATCCAGAAGAGCTTCAACTTGGCGAATGGTTCGTTGTTTTTCCTGCTGTTTTAACCGAATGGCAACAGACTCTGGATCAAGGGATTGCGTATTGATGGCTTCTTCCTGCTTGGGCCGAACCTCTTGAAGCAGCTCGTTAACTTCTCTCACGAAATCCACCCTCAAAAGAACATCATCGGACTCAAAGTTTGGTCTGATTGGTCCTTGATGCTAAAATGAAACGGCATAAGATCCAAGGAGTTCAAGTCAGGTAATAACTCAATAAGAACATCAGACTAAACTTGTAAAAAATAGAAACAAATATCAACAGGGTATTTACAATTTCGGGGAAAAATTTGGCGCGGTTTCTTTTCATTTTATCTTTTCTTTCTCCTTTTGTGTGTGTACGATCTTTACCTTATCAATGTCGAATCCAGCAGGAACAAGAATGCTAAAAGGGTCCTCCCTGGGAAAAGCTTCGACCATAAGCTTCTTACATTCCTTGAGCCAACCGTCATCATCAAATCCATCGTGCAAATTCAGTAGTTCATTGAGTAATCTCATACCCGGAGTTGCCTCTCGTTTCAAAATCTCAGTCTAGAAAGCATATAGAGAGAATAAAGAGAGTGACATGCTTAGATAGGAGGACAAACAATAATTTTAACCACCACTTAAGGTGGCTAATGCTGGAAAATCATGCTAAGGCAAAGTAATATAGTATTTACCCAAATGAGATACAAGACAAACAAAAGGGCTATTCGTCATAGGCCAATTAATGCGCTTTTTTCTTTATAAAATTAATTTAACAAGAAATGTATCAAGCAAAAAAAGTTTTGAGAATGGTGCATACCTCAACCCTCCGGTACAAGAGATCGAGACTTCTAATAGCATCCTTTTCATCCTGATACATGTATTAGGAACTCTAATGTCATTTTAAAAAATGAACGATATATGAGGTTCAAAAACCATTCTCAAGATATGGCTTCATTCGCATAACAAAACCTTGCAACTTTGTGCAGACAGTATTCACATCCTCTGTTTTATTCGACAAAGAGACAGATTCAAATGATAATTCAGACATATTGAATTAGCTTAAACATATATATAGCTGCCGACATATAATTACATAAATCGGAAACTCACATCACGTCGAGCGAGATCAAGGCGATTCCATATCACCAATAGCACTAATTCACTCAGTTCGCCTCTCTCAGCAGCTTCCACAATTTTCTGCAAGCGATTGCTCAAAAGAACCAAACATTAGCCCAGATCTTTTAGTTTAGCTAATTTAGCAAGAACACTAACAGCACAAAAATACACACACAACAAAAGTCGGTAAGTCTGAATTTATCTTCTCTAAGGCAGTTCATTAGCTGCCTAATCATACATCTACACCCAAAATGGCGAAATCAGAACTCGAAAAAAAAGCACATAATCTTCAAGAAAATCGAGATACAGAAATTGATAAATTCGACTAAGGGGATACCTCTTCAACCTCCTCAGCCGATCTTATGAAGCTCGAGACCAGCTTCCTGGCTTTTCGAAGCTCTTCCTCTGGATAGTCTTTCAGCCTCATCCCGATTTCACGATATTCGTCGACCTTCCTTTCCTCCTCCTCGTCTTCCTCCTGCCGCCTTCTGTGCAGCTCCTTAGTCTTCTCCCTCTGCCTCGCTTGCCATTCCTAAACTCATACCGATTAGTCCCACTATTTTCACGGCACATCAAGTGAACAACGTTTGAGACAACCAAACAGATGAATTTACTCGCAATTTTGTACTACTTACATCGTCGTAATACTCTTTTGGGAGACCGTGTAGGTCTTGCTCTTCAATCTTCTTGCATTTGCGCAAAGCTGGTAATTGCAAACAACAACGGCGGCGACGGCGTGCCGATGAAACCACCGGAAAAATGTAAGTAGTATTTTTCGGAACTTTGAACGAAGATTAGGAGAAAAAAAGAGAGAAAATGGGGGAAAGAGCTTACTCTTGAAAGATGAGGGTAATGGGAAAGGGTTGATGCATCTTGATAAGGTTGAAGAATTCGCCAATGGCGGGATTGCGGTGCACGATATCAGGTGAAAGGTTTTTGCCTCCATTTTTTCCACTTTCTTTTTTTTTATTTTTGGGTCACTCGTTTACGGGGTTTTACATTTACAAGTGTGCACCAGTACTCCTTCAAGTCCTAAATCCTGCTGCTTGCTGGTAATTGCATTCATTTCTTTTACCTTTTTATTCTTGTTCTTTTTAATTTTAATTTAATTTAATTTAATTTTGTATTGTATTTAGTGTTCAAACTAGTCGTAGATTCGTATAGTTGTGAGTTGGTTATTCTAGCGTTGCTAGTAGGCTCTAGGCGATCTCCGTATTTGCCTCTCAGTTTTTTCAGTCTCTGGTTGTACTAGCTGGCGATCTCCGTATTTGCCTCTCAGTTTTTTCAGTCTCTGGTTGTACTATTCAGCCTTTGGCTGTATTCTCTTCGCACTTTGTGCGGTTTTATTAATATAGTACCTCTATCGTTTCGGGAAAAAAAAAGAAAAATNCTAGTCGGTAGATTTCACTCCACACACAAAGTGATATCATGGTGTTCTCCATATTAAAAAAAAAATGTGGATATGTATATGTGTTGGTGGGTATGAGTTGATTTATCTCAACAAAACTCATTTGACCTCAGTGCAATCACTTAACATTTCGACACACTATATAGAAGTATATGTATGTTGATTTAATGGTAAAAAAATATATAATTATATGTAGATTCAAATCTTCCAACTTGAGTTCTTCACATCAACAAACTAGTGTGAGTATTTGTTGATTTAACTATAAAAAAACTCAGATGATTGCACTGCAAGACTTGCAATTACTACTTTTCACTATTAGATCAACACACTGTGTAAATATATGTGTGTTGATCTAACGGTAAAAAAAATTTAATAACTGCACTATATTGTACGTAGATTCTAATCTTCCAACTAGCCCCTTCAGTATGATTTACATGAGTGTTGGGTCTAAATCTGCTCTTAGAACTGTGGTCTTCCCGTGACTCTACAATAAGATCTACACAAGTGTTGGGTCTCAATATGCTCTTAGAAGAAAAGGGTTAATTGCTCGAATATCTGCCTGCGCATTTTCCCATAGCACCAAACACAAGGTAAGGATGTACAATTTTAAATATAACACAGTGGATTTCATACATATAGAAGAACATTAATTTTAACTAATAACTCCCTGCAGCAGCAAAATTTCAAAAACTAATCTTAATAATTTATATATTAAACCCAATGTCTTCCAGCAGCCTTTTTCCCCCATCCAAAAAATGTTCAGTCCAGTTATTGTCACTTCACTTCCTACTATACAGAAACATCATTTCCCTAAACCACCACAAAAGACACATCACATGGTAAAAAAGTAAAACACCACCAACTATTAACACATTCACACACATACAACTCTACCGCTACCAAAATTCAAGA